AGATATGTCCCAGTCTCAGTGCAGGAGTGCAGTTTTTTCCTGTTTTTACAGCTCTTTCTTTTGGTTAGGCAAGTTAAAATTAGATAGCCTCACACCAATGAAAAACAGAAAGGAATTACTAATTGCTATTAAGTTTTAGATAATCTTCTGCAGGGTTAGTTATGAGGTAAGGTTTGTGTTTTAACAGGAGTATTTTGTTCTGTGTATTTTATCTTTATTTTTTTATACAGTTCCTTCAGCCCCTAGGAACCCTAGAATATATGTGTTACAAAATAACCTACACGGAAGTGATGAGCAAGTCCTTGTTGAGTTCAGGTGGGACAGACCTGAAAGGGAAAATGGAATATTAACACAGTACAAGGTTTACTATCAGCTATTGAATCAGAGCAGCACTGCTGGCACTCCCATGGAGTGGATTGAAATCAATGTTAAACCCATCCAGATGCTGTTTTCTCTCAAGGATGTGCGTCCCAGCCTCACAGTAAGGTTTCAGGTATGAAAAATTACTAAGCTTGTCTCGTGCTGGATGGTAGATGTTATCTGTGCAGTCTGACGTGTTTGCCTGGGAGATATTTTTTTGGCTTGGGGCAAGATCTTGTCGTTTCTGCATGTAGAACTGCTGATTTGCTGACTCACCCTTGGGTACCTGGCTTAACCTCTCTGTGTATCATGTTGTTCACTAAATGGTGAAGCCCAAAAGAAACTTTTCTAGAGGTTTCCCCAAGCTACTTCTAAAAAGTGCAAGTTGAACACAGATTCAACTGATCTGGCGGGGAGTGACAGGCCTTTTGAACAGAGCCACAGTTTGAGAAATGCAAGGACTCATGTGGCTTCCATGGAAAGAGACTTCCAGCTTCAAAACTTGTCAAGAAGTTATATTTTCACTGGAATAAAAGTTTTGGAACAGACAGTATGTGTACTCGAAGTACAAGTTAAAAGCATGAAAGCAGATAATAGACCAGATACTAATAGGGGAGACCATGCTGATTGCAAGGTCAGCAAATAGTAGGAATTGTTCCAGGCTGGGAAAGGAACCAAAAAGACTGCCTGGAGTCCTTTTGAGATCTAACTGTTAAATGCAGCATGGATTGTCAATCTCTGGGCCACTGCTTAAAATTCTCTTCATAACCACAGAGCCAACTTGAATGTAGCTTTTGAACTGACCAGCACAGCCTATGTCAAACAGAGCACACACTTATGTCCCTAGATGAGCAGACAGGGGTTGTGTCTCAATTGACTCTACAGGCTCTCAAATGCAGTCATTCATGCTGTTACTTAACATAAGTATCAATCTCCTGTCCCACAGGTGCAGGCCTTCACCTCTGTAGGTCCAGGACCTTTGTCTGATATGGCAGAGAGGAATTCATCAGGTAGGGATCATTTAGTTGCCATCTCATGGTTTGTGTGCAATAGCTGGTGAAAATGATAGTACAAGAATTTGGTAGTCTGATAAATAGCCTCCAACATTTTATGTGGCATGTAGCAGACACAACAGAGGAAAGAGTTACATCCTCTGACACGAAAGATTGACACATTCCTTATCATTAGACTAAATTTTGGGAATTTCAAGCCTTTCCTCAAAACTATGCTAAATTAGCTTTTTTTTGTGCAACTCCCAGCTAGCATGGAATAGTAGGTTTTCACCTGCAATCTATATACAGCTAGAGATGATAATCTATTTCTAATTAGGCTGTCAAAATTAACTAGGAGAGTTAGACACCCACTAGAGATCATAGGCTATTTCTAGTTTGTCTGTTAAAGGCAATTAAATAAGCAAATCTATTTTACTATGCTGAAATTTGTTAGGTAAGCATTCACAATGCCCTGAAAATATCTTAGTAGTCTGATTGTGATGACAAGAGGGCATATCATTACTTTATTTATTTAATGTGGCATACAAACAAATACAATAAGTTCAGAACCATCATTTATTTGTATCTTGTACTTTCTTTCCTTATAACAACTGATTATCTAGGATGGTTTTTTTTTTTTTTTGTTAATTCTGCTGTGCCCTTTTCCTTCCAGATCTTTTCCCTGTCCCAACTCTAATAACTATTTCTGCCAGCAAGTTGTTTCTTACTGACATAGACAGTGGTCAAACTATATGGGAACTTTCAGCAGAGACTAATGTAAAGGACATCTGTTATACTGCTAATGATGACAAAGCATACCATATCATTGATGATTCTCTTTTTGTTCTGAATATACAGAATGCTTCAATGTTTCAGGTATTCCTTTGCTCATTCTCTTACTTGAGAGAATCTAGGAAAATGATCATTACATGACCATTAATGCCTTTATTTTATGACCAGCTGTGTTTTTGAAAAATTAAAAATGAACAGAGTATGCCATTGTTAAAGTTGTCCTGTTAATCATAAATGGTTTTTCTGACATCTACTTTGTTGATATTTTATCAGATGTTTAATTTAAAATTAATACTAATAAATACAAGAAATTTGTATTTTGTATCACATTTAATCTGATTTAATTTAATTTACTTCATTCTAATTTCAAGAATATGGAGGCAACAGTTGATATTTGTGAAACAGTAATTTTGATTTGTCTAAAAATATTGCCAATCCATGACGCATCTTTGTATTTTGACTTCTACTTCCCAAGTAGACATTTTTCTTTCTGAAAGAAATTGATTTTAGTAATGTCTTAACATCAGGTTGGAAAATTCTGTCCTTTTTAAATTTTTTTCTTAAGTTTTTCAAAGATGCATATCTTCACAATGTCACAGCCATCACAGTTGACTGGATTGCAAGACATCTCTTTGTTGCCCTGAAAACACCACAGGATGAAACTCAAATATTTGTTATTGATCTTGAGCTCAAGAAAAAATCTCTAAAAGCCTTGAACATGCAGCTGGGCAAAAGTAATTCAACTGTATCATCTCTGTTGTCATATCCTTTCTTAAGGTAAGGCACATACTACTAATAACTTTTTAAAAGCAAATTTTAGACATGATTTTTATTAAAACTTGAACTGTTAAAGACCAAAAAGGACCTTTTATTGTAGATGAGTTTTGGAATTCTGTAAATCTCAGAAATATTTGGATGTGGTATTAATTTAGAACTGCTAGTTGAGCTTGGACATATCTAATTTCAAAAAGATGTCTGTGTTTGAGTAAAGATTTCAACTTATGCTTAAATACTGATAGGTTCTTCTATATGCGTTATGCAAATAAAAGTCAACACCAGACAACAATTTTTTTTTACAGTAACCATTTTATCCAGAATAACCAGTTACTGTGTCAGACTAGGATTGCATTTAGGTTGAAGTTTTTCTACTGAAAGCAATGCATTTTCTTTGGCAGCCGCTTGTACTGGATGGAAGAGCTTGAAAATGGCAGCCACATGTTTTATTATGATATTCTGAACAGCACTGTGCACCACATCCTGGGACACGGATTGGTAGAAAAACAGATGAGGAACTACTGCACCTGTAATGTCACAGAAGTGGAGCTAGGAAGACCTTTGAGTATGGACTTGTCTGACTCCAAAAATCCCCAGCTGCTTTTTATCAGAGGAAGAGATGAAATATGGGCCTCAGATGTGGATGGTTGCCACTGCTGGAGAATTATCAAAATACCAAATATTCAAGGTCTGAGTGTCTTTTATTTTTTCTAGGTACAGTTAGTGATTCTTGCTGTCTCTTACTACAAACAACATTCATTTCAAAAAATGGCATTCATGAAGCATTTTGTTTATAAAACAGTCTACAGTCAATATGGACAAAATGTTTCTGTTCTGTGTTTCCAGTTGTGTCCCCTGTTCATACAAACTAGGAGAAAGAGCAGTGTGAAGATATTTACTGATGCAAATATTCTAATAATACGTAAAAGAAATGCTACAACTTGAAGTCCTACTTGTCAATAGATTTCACTTATAATATTAACACATTATACTGCTAGGGTTTCAAATTAGCTGCACCTATTGCAGTTTATGGCATTGCAGACTTCATCATATGAGGAAGGTGCTTTACACAGGTAGGGTCTTGTATGACAAATTATCCATGTTTTACTTGTGATAATAACACTTATCCTTGGTTGCTCAGTTTCCAGCTCAGTTCTGGAGGCATGCTGGTAAAGCTGCTCTGTTACCACAGGAGGTGACTTAGTTGTTCCTGAGACATGGCAGATCATGGTGGTTTTCATCTTGGAAAAAAGAGCAACATTTCTTTAGACAGCTCTTGGTTTTGAGTTTTGTTTCTTGTGTTTGTTAATTGAATAGCAGTTCTCATAATTATGGGTAATTAAACACCTTCAACCTGTAAACTGGAATAACAGTGTCTCAGCTTCATGAGAGCCACTGGAAAATATCAGAAATCTCAAGGGGCGTTCTTTGAGGATACAGTATGTCCAAGATACCTATATGGACACACTGTGAATACAAGCACCTGCCTGCTCCTGTAAAATCATCTGCTCAAGGTTGACTATAAAACTTATTTATGCAATGTTTTCCTACAGGTAATAAAATTGGCAGCTTGACTGCAGATCAGAAATTTATATACTGGACCACTGAAACGAAAGAATACACTGAAATTTGGCTAGCAAATAAAGAAAGCAGAAGACACTTTCTGCACAAGAGAGCAAACCATATGCTGAAAATCTTAGCTTACAGCTCAGCAACACAATCATATCCAGGTAAAGGGGATTTGGGTTGTTTTGTGAATGTAACCAATTTCTTTCAGAGCATGTATTTAAGCTGCAGATTGTGCTATGTGTATTTATGTAAAGTATGCTTCATGGATTTGAGCATTTGAACATTGCTTCAACAATTTGCACTTTTTAAAAAGGATGAATATAAGGACTCGCCTTGTGTTGGTTACAGTGGAAGCTCACGATGATGAATATTGCCCATTTGTTAATGCCAGGCTTTGCCTATTTTCAAAGTTGTGTCAGATCTGGAGTTTTAGAAAAGGTGGTGCACGTTATAGCACAGAAAAAGAGCAAATATGTTTCACAGTGTTGTGGCAAGAGTTTCATAGTGATCCCTGTTATGACACAGATTTCTGAGTTTGTTCACAAGTATGTAAAACTAAAAAAAAAAGTCCATTCTTCCAAAGACAAAGAGATAAGAACTCTGCTTAATAAAGTGATTTATAATGAAGTGCCCAAGAGACAACTACTGATTACATTATAGTAGACCCAGGCTTCACTTAGGACTCCTAATATTTTAAACAAACCATTGTAGAATGATAATGAAAGAATGAAACATTAGTCTTAATAGAAAATTAGGATTCATAGTACCTATAAGGATTATCATTGTAAATGCAGAACAGCTACTACCACGATGAATATATTCAAAATAATTCTTGAACTCTGGTTTTGCACAAAAAAACCTGGCAAATATACAAATGAATATTTTAACAAGATGAACTTCTTTGGAATAAAAAAATTCACATTCTTTTGGGTAGCTGGTGCAGTCATGCCTGCCTGCAGCTGCTCTGACCAATGGTCAGGCTATTCTTGCCAACATTTTGGGCATGTTTGTTCTTATGAGATCTGTGTGGGCTTGGCATTGGTGCAGGAGCCTGGTTTGGCCCTGGTACAGAATGTGCCAATCCCTTTCCCCAGGGACAGGGTTTCCTGCAAGAGCCCCAGGCTTAGCTGGTGCAGAAAGGGAAGAACCAAATTTCAGTCCAAATGGATTATTTCTACCCAGAGATCCCCACGGAGATTTTCTAATTTACATTGACTGCTGCAAATATATCCAGAGGAATATGCATGAATCTGACTTTGGCAGGAATGGCAGGGTTGCTCACTTTGGGAGAAAAGATCTTGACTATGAGGTCAGTTGTTGTGGCCTAAGGGCAAGCACTGGTTCTTGTACCTTCTTCCCTGTGCACATCCCTGAATTTCTTCCTTCTTAGCAGGAAGTCTATTTAATAGATTTTTATTTTGTTTTTGAAAGTACATCAAGTGATGAGGAATTTTCTTTTGTTATTTTTCAGTAACTGTTAGTGTAGTTTTCTATTGTTGTCTCCCTCCAGACTCCTTTTCTACCTCTCAAATTTGTCTCTCATTATCTGTTGTTACATTACACATTGAAAGCTGTTTGGAAGAAACAGCAGATAACATTTAATTACTAGAGAAAGGCAATATCTATTCAGCATATCTATCTCACCTGTAAAAGGCAAGTTTGGGCTCATCAATATGTATTGCCCTGACAACACAGCAACAATTTGCATTTCCATCTTCTACTTCAAGAAGAACCTAAATTCTTTATTAAAGTTGTATCTTATAAAATATAAATGAGAGTTTCTTTGAGGACCACTGTTTTTGTATCTATGAAGGTAATCAAATAAAGTACTTTCAGGTGGAATTTTCTTCTGTTTCTCGTTGTGAGAGCAGAAAAAATACTTTGTAGTTATTCTTTCTCATATGAAGGGTGGTAGAATCCCATGCAAGTTTGGATTGGTCCAGCCATAATTTTAATTTTTAATCTTTTGATGTCTTTCCTAGATAAAAGATGCCTGATACTCTTGCCAGACACTGAGAAACCTACTATCCTTGCTACGACTAACACCAGTTTTACATTAAGCTTGCCATCTGTCACACCACAGCAGCTATGCCCTGGCATATCCCAGCCTACACCAACGTACCTGGTATTTTCCAGACAAATGACCAACATCTGCAGGAACTCAAGACAATGTTTGTCTGTTCCAGAACAAAACACATTGGTATGGCTACTTCACACAGAAATGCATGTGATAGCATCTATAAACAGGGAATGTGATATCGCTTTTAGAGATTTTATGAACCATTTTGTAGTTTTCTGTCAGTGAGTTTTTCCATTTCTACATCCCAATGGTAACTGTACTTTCTCCATGGTATTTGGTAATTGGTAGATGCCTTAGTTTTCCTTTGTGCAAGTACCCCCCTACATTTTGGCTTGTTTTTGGTATGTGCTTTCTTTTCTGTAGGGAGCTATTTCTGGAACTGTGATTCTAACATTCTTTTTTTAAACACTAAAGCATATTACTATGCAAAAACACTACTGTATTCCTTTTTAAACACAGATTTAATTGACAGATTATTGGGTTGACATATGAGTCTCTTTTCTAAGAATGCATGTTTATTTTCTGATTTTGACTAACAGGAATATCAGGGTCCTATTGCTGTCTTAGAGAACCTACAGCCATTTTCAAGTTATGCCATACAAGTTGCAGTGAAAAACTACTATTCAGATGAGGGAGCACTGCCTGTGGGAGAAGGCACAGTCGGCACAACTCTATATGGAGGTTTGTTTCATACTTTATTCTGATTTTGTACAGAGTTCTCATCTCAGTTAGAGAAAGGTGTATGCAGGTTTGGGTTGTAAATCAGAAAGCAGACAAATAGTCTGCTTAAAATATAAGCTGTGTAGATCTTCAAGAGGTTTTGGCAAGCAGACTTGATGAATTTGTAAGTTTCATTCAATATATTTGTATATATTCTTTATTGCTTTGGCTTATTGGCTTCCTGAGGGAAGATAAATTATGGTTACAAGTGACTAAACAGTTGCAGTTTCTGCCTTGGACCACATCTTTAAATAAGTTGTATTTGAATGTGTGGTTATGCAGGTTTAAATATCTGTGTTACATATTCATTCAGCATTAAGATTTTTTCTCTTGGCTTGATGTCATTCTCATAATTGCTGTTTCTAAGATTTGTTTTGTTGTGAACCAGGCTGAAGAAACAACGCTTCATTTTTACTTTTGGCCCAAATGAAAACAGCTCATTTTCAGTTAATTTCAAGAATTTTGATGTGTCCTTTCAGTCCTCGTTCTTTGAGAATACTACAGTCTGATCTACATCCCTCCCGTGCTTGTAAATACTTCAATTAGGGGCAGGAAGATGCTTCTATTCATTCCCTGCTTCACTCTACCTGTTTGCAGCTGTAGGGCAGCTACTGTGCCAGTTTCCTTGAAGCTCTTGACATCCAGAAAGAGAAGCATCATGCTAAAGGTGCATGCTATGCTTTTACACATGTTGCACCCCAACCCAACAGATCGACCTTGCTCAGCACTTTTAGTTGTTTTGCATGCGTAATTTTGTGCATGCACACTTGTCTTTATGAGGATCTGCATTTGTGCTCCTCTTCAGATAACTTTCTCAGTGCTTCTGCTGAACTCCTTTGCTGAAAATATGGAAAGCCATTTCGAGATGTAGCTATTCCCCATAGTATACAGAGTCCTTGCTCTTCTGTTGTATCAGTTTTGCTCTCTTGTGCCTGGTGTCACCAGCCAGTGTCAGCTTGATCCACATAAACTCTTCACTTGCAAAGCCATTAGGCACCTCTGTCATTCCTAAGTCAGAAAGTCAGAATTATACCCAAGTTTACATGACAGCATATCTGTGTTTTGCTGAAGGACTGGGGAGGTCATACCTAGGGATATTTGATGTTGAACTCACTGGGATGTGGGAATGCTGTGGTCCCCATCTTCATTAGTTTTCCTGCCTGGATCTTGTCCTGCAGAGTTGGAGCAGTTCTTTTTCTGAGAGAGGGTAAGGGAGTGAAACAGAGGCAGAGCAGTCTTTGGCCCTTGGGCACTGGCTCCCTCAGCCTGGCTGCATCAGGGCTGGCTGTGGCTGGCACAGAGCTGTGCAGGCTGCACAGCTCTGCAAGTGGATATTGCTGTGACATGCAGTGAGGGAGCCACAGCAGGACTCCTAAGGTTTTCCCTTACCTTCTTTTACCTCTCCTTGGATTTTGGCTGCTTCAGAAGTTGATGGGATAACTGGAATTGAAGTATGGAGAGCCACCACTGTGTTTTTCTTACTTTCCTCAATGTCTCTTTCCCCTAGTGATCAACTGTGCCCAAGAAAATATTTTATGCAGAATACCTGGCAACAAGTACACACCAGGAGTCCTATTTTCATTTTTTCTTTCCTTACGGATGCACTCTGTGGTTTCTTTAAAGGCTCATTCATAGAATAATCTGCTTCTCTTTTTGCCACCATTGTCCAGAGCAGAGCACACCTGAAGCCAGTGGCTTGTCTTATGCACAGATCATTCCCTGTTTTTTGTCCTGAGAGCAGTCACATCTTTCCCCTTAAAGACTCTATGTTTAAGGTGAACTTCTTTTCAGCTTTCAAATGAAAGTGAAACAAGAAGTGCAGGCATATTGCCACCCTTCTCATGGAATCCAGACATGCTATACTTCGAAAGTTCTCTGGTTCAGCTATGCTGGGTTTTTTTCTCTTAACAGATCCTTTGACATCTGCACCATCAAACAAATAACCTTCCATCCTATGTGGATCTCTGAATATTGTGACCTTCTACTATGCCTGCAGTGAGAGGACTGGAGGCAATGGCCTTTATCTGAGATGGGAGATTCAGATTAGATATCAGAAAAAATGTTTACACTGTTTCAGTGGTCAGGCACTGGAATAGGTCTCCCAGGGCAGTGGTGGAGTCACCACCCCTAGAGGTGTTTAAGAGGCACCTGGTGTTGGATGATGTGGTTTAGGGGTTACAGTGGTAGTGCTGGGTGACAATTGGACTTAATGGTCTGAAAAGTCTCTTGCAACCTTGATGATTCTACCTTCCTGTGGAATCTAAGGAGACAAACAAACAAACAAACAAAACTCTCCAAAACACCCAACAATTCTAGCCTTCTATCAATAGATCTCAATTCTTTGCATGAGATTCTACATCTGTAATATAAAATTTGTGTGACACATTGATTGAATAACATTAAATACTATTGGGATGTGACAAGAACTGGCACAATTACTTTTTTGTGTGGTAAACTGTGCCATCTTGCAGCAATGTACACCCTTTCAGTGATGAAACATAAAGGTAGAATATGAAATGGGAGACTGGATTGTTCTATTCAAACAGAATTTTTTAGTCTCATGTTAAAATGAAACAGGAAACTCAAAACAGGCTTCTCTACTTGGGACAAAATGAAAAATCTGGATGAAAATCAAATCTTAGACAAAAAGCAAAGCAAACCAACAAAAACCCTCGCCCCACCCCAGCCTACAAATCCTGAGCATTTTGAATAGGTATTTGTATCAGCATTCAGAGCTTTACACAATTTGTTGAAAAACTTCCAGCCAGCTGGAAATAGAAGGTATATGTGTCCTGATACTTATGCTCTCAATTTCATGAATGTAACTGCCAGTTTAAATTGTAATCAGATGCTGCTAGAGCCTCTTGAAGTGTGTACACTATTTAACACCTCTGAAGCTGTGTGAATTCCCTCTGCCTTTTTCTCAATTCTCTAATGAAGTGAAAGAAGCTTGGAATAATTTGTGCTTTCCATCAAATAGCAAGCTAGAGGGAATGAAAAAAAGAGGACGATAATTAATGTATTGCTCTTGCCACAGAGTGTCACTCTTACTCCACATATGTTTTAGCTAGACAAATGAGAAATTTGTCTTCTTTCCTAGTCTAGTTTCTGCAGAATCTGTAGTCTTGCTACTAGGAATGAGTTAAAACATATGGACTCATCATTTTGATATGTTGGGAACATAAATTATGTGATAAGTGATAAGTAATGACTTGTTAACTTTTTACCTATGTGGACAGCTCAATAGGAAATAAAGAATTTTTTTATGCAGAGTAGGGACATGCCATATACCATTACAAAGTCTATGATCTTAAAGCTTCAAAGGAAGGGTTTATTTTTCCAGAACAATTAGTAAGTAACCATCTGGTATGGACATCTGACCAGCAACCTAGTTTCTTCCTTACACAGCTCAGCCAGACTCTCTATTTCTGAGAAAAATTGTAAATGATGGGAAATAATGCTTAGTTTTAGATTTTCTTCCCTCATAAATTTCTGTTCAAGAAAAGACTTTCCAATATGAATAGTGCACAAGTTGGTTTTTTTTGTGTGCATATTCAAATAAGCACCATATTAAACTCACATCTGACATCTTGATTAGGAAACTAAGAGGGAGCAGGAATTCTGTGATATGGCTATAAATGTAGAAGTATAGGACAGCAGATGTTTTCCTGTTGTTCAGTTTTGGGGTTTTTTTGTCTGCTTGCAAATTACGTTTGGCAAGAAGATACTAAAAGTCTCTCAAAACACTTTGAACTCGTCTGCAGCTGACTGGCTATACCAGGACATGAGTTTTACATGAGTAGAGTTTAAGTCCCGTGAATGAATCATATTAATACATTTATATCCTTCTTTTCTTACCTTGGTGACATTTCTTGACTCTTCTAAAAGGGAGATTAATTTTTCTTTCTGTTTCAGTACCAGAGGCAGTTGACACTATTAAAACATTAGTTTTGTCTGACACCACCATCAACATATCTTGGAGTGAACCTCTGAAGCCAAATGGGCCCCTTGAATCCATCCGCTATCAAATCTCTGTCAATTTATTGCCTCCTGTCCCAGCGACGCCTTTGCGAAAAAGTGAATTTTCAAATGGGATGCTCGCCTGGTCTGTCAGCGGGCTCCAGCCTGGAACAAATAACTCATTCAAGGTATAATTGCAAGTAGTTTTACTGGTTTGTTCAACCTGCAAATCTTTAGACTGCTCTCCTGTAAAGTGGACAAACAAAAGTGTGCAACATGGATTCATAAGAACAAAATGTACTGCCTCTCCCTTTACACATGGAGGCTTAAAAAAAAATAGTAAATTATGTATATGGACAGCAGGTTTATGATCAGAGTGACATTTTCAAAAGTAACCAAGTAAACATGTTGTCTGCAGAATGTGCACTGGATATCACAAATAGAGTGATTTAAACAGTTGGGAGAACATTCAGATGATGGCAGGAGGGGATCTCTAGATCCTAATTTGATTTTGGGTTTTTGTTAAATATTTGGATGATATAATGGGAAATATATATACACACACATACCTAACTACCTGTATGTGTGTATGCAAGTATGCATACCTAACATAAGTCATGTTTGCCTGTGGCTTTGTGAAAAGCAATGTGCTAAGGCACTTCTTGACTTTGTGTTTCTGTGGTTCTAAAACACTGCCTAATATGTGATGTGACATCTGCATGTCAGTATGTGTGGCATTTAAGAAAGATCTAGAAAGAGATGGTTCTCATTCTGAGAAGAGATGTGAAACTAAGAGTCTCTGAGGAAAGGTACTCCCAGACAAGTACTTTCAACCTGAAGGTATATAACCTAGCAGCTGTGAGGTGCAAAATCTTTCTACACCTATATCTCTATTGCCTGAATACTATCTTGTTTGGAATGTTAGTCTTCCAAACACTTGGTGTTGCTATAGCAAAGCTGCCTTTCCAACTGCTCTGCTATTGTACAGTTCATCCATTGCCTTACTAGGTTCTTGCTTTTCATCCTGATGAGAGCTGGTTTTCTGAAAGTGTCCCTGTCATTGCAAAAACTTTTGAGACTCCAGCTGCACCTATCAACATAGTCCCCAGAAATACAAGTTTCCAGCTAGAATGGAGAGCTCCCCTGCACATCAATGAAAACAGCTTCTGGTTTGAGCTGCGAAAGGTAAAAATACCTCTAAGTTTTGAGGTGGGTTTTTCAGATCAGAGAAACTTTAACCTATCCTGTCCTCCTAAGCAGGACAGGGTGGGTGGCAGGATGTGCATGAAGAGTCTCAGTGGATAATTTGGGCATGGTGATGTCAGTCTTAGCTGCTCAGCAGGGGCAGGATGGAGTCAGCATTTGCCAGGAACAAGGAGGAGTGCAGCTGTAGCATTTAGTACTCCATAGTGCCAAAGGACATCCTGGATGACCTCACCAGAATTCCTTCTGAGTCTCCTGTTTCAGCAGTCCTATCCCTGTTTCCTCACTGCCCTGCCCCAACTGGGTTTGCAGTTGCAAATTCTATGTCTGCCCTGCACAAGAAAAAGAAGAAAAGGGTTTTCAGCAATAAATATTACCTACCACCTACTATCTGGATTTTATTTTCCTGTGATAGAGGTTAGGAGAAAATGATGGAGAGAAGACTAGATCCAAGGAGTTAGAAGTAAGCACTGCAGTGAGAGCAGCATGCATGGAAACTTGAGACTTCCAACACCTGAACCACTGGACACAGAAAAAGCCATGTCTAAACTGGGTCACACAGATTCTTTACTATAGAGAATCAGATTTGATAGACCTACACCAAACATTTCCCTGCCCTAAAAAAAATGTCACATCACAATTCCATTAACCCACCTCCTTTCAATTGCATCATGGCAAGCTGAACTCATAGGCACGTCACGATGATCCAGAAATATAAGGGGAAGGCTCCTTTTGGCTGTGTAAAGCAGGCACTTAATCTGTTGTTCTTTGTTACTGCCAAGACTTGTAGGTCTCCTGAAAACAAAGAAGAAAATTAGGGTTTGTGTCCTTGGTCTCTGAGAGGACAAAGTCCCAGGGTCGAAAGAGCACCTGCGTCAGATTTCCACTACGATATTAAGAGGTGGCAAAGTAGTTAATCTACCCAGGAATAGAACTATGACACACTTGCAGCAGAGCAAGAAAGTTGACCATAATGATATTTTATTTCTCTAGTTGCCAACAAAAAGTGACTGGTTTTCTCCTGCGAACACTACATGCACAGGAAATCTTGTTTACGTGTGCAACCTCACAGGAACTCTTCCTTGGACCAACTACTTTGTAAGAGTAACAGCAGTTTATGTTACAGGAGTGAAAAGCACTTCCCCTTCAACAAGCTTTAAAACTACAGGTAAGCACTTAATGCAGGATAACAAGATTTTAAGACTCTTTGCAGGATGTGAATATTAAACGTAATATTTTCAAAAATTTAGCAGGCAATTTTCTTATACTAAGACCCAACAGTTCTGTGTGTTTGAAGAATGAATGACATAATTCCATACCTTCAGAAGTAATAGGGGGAAAGGAATGAGGTTCATTTCCAAGTGGAGCAGAGGAAAGAGTGAAGGGAACTGAAATGAAATGCCTATAATGCAAGGGAACTCATTACTGGTGAAAGGCTGCAAGCAAAAATTTTGGAATTTATCCATCACAAAGAGAAGGCCAAGGATTCGTTCTCTATGAGGATTATTAATATAGATCCTCCTTCCTTTTGTATGTTTAAACACCTATGTGCACATGAAATCTTTCTCTGTGCCTGTTGGCCTTTTGTCATGCTAAAAACACATTTTAAGGGTTCTGTTTCTTCCCCTGTTTGGCTTAAGCTGGTGTTCCTGGTAAGCCAGGAGTTCCTAAAAGAGCAGAAGACTCCAAAAACTCTCTACAGTGGGAAAAGGCTGATGATAATGGAAGCAAACTGACCTACTACATCTTAGAAAGCAGGTAAGCAATGCATGAGGCACTCTTCCCATAGGCAGCAGCCCAGAACAAATCTGGGTGTGCAGGGCTTTTCAGGTGGGCTCCAGTGGGGAAAATGAAATATATATGATGAAAAAGGCCCTTCCCATTGGGATCTCTCTCTTATATAAACCAAGTACCCAAAATTACCAGAAATTCTGGAAAACACAGAAGGAAAATAAACACTAACAACATTTTCAGAGCAATCTTGAAATACAATTATATATTTGGATCTATGTCAGTGAATTGAAGATTTAGAGATAATTTCAAATCACAAATCTCAACTTACATGTAGTATGTATTTTTGGCTAAAATATATGTAAAAATATATTACTGTTCAGAGGGCTCAAGGAAGGTGTTATAATATTGCCAGAAATAAAGTATTCCCACCCACGTGGGATGACTGTATAATTTTTAAAGTGCTCTGTCATCAAATACCGATTGCCTGGGATATTGATGTCACACTAGAGTGCCAGCTCACTCTTATTTCTGCACTGGCATTGGAAGGGCTGATTGGGCAGGTTAGATTATATTGCTGTGGGCAATGACTTTGAACTTCTAATTTTTTGACCATGACTCTGGAGAGATTTCTTTAAAGCAGTCAGTGCAATGTTTAATTGATGCATTATTTTAAAATTAGGGAAGTCCATCTTCTGAAATATTCCAGTGATTGTTTGAAGTCATTACTGATGGAGGGAAACAGTTTTCTAAACTCAGCCGTTATTTCTTCCTCCGTGCTTATGAAAGCTAAGGATTGACAGCACTCTGGAGCTGGAAATGCTTTACCTATATAAGTTTTCACCCAGACATATTTTCCTGGTGCTGTAAGCTTCTTACAGTTCTGTGAGCATGCAGGAGCACAGGCCTGCATGCTCTGAGAAAGCAGTAATTTTTATATGCCAGGAGACAATCTCTACCTTATTTACAGCAGATAGGTAAGGGAAGGTCAGTCCCTTGGTCTGGGCCAGGGCTGTGCATTAGCTGCTCTCTTCTCCAGACTCCAGCTTCTTATTCAACTCTGGAATTGTAATGCATCACTGAGATGGTCTTTTAATGAAATAAGCTTTTCTCTTGCAGTTTGAATGTGCACATGCTGATATTTTTGACTGAATTTCATATCAGATAGAAAAATGTTAGGTCAGTTGCATTCTAGATTCTAACGTTCTAGAAAATGTTTGCCTAGCCCTTTTAAGCAAACATTTTTCATGCAGCTCTAGTGGCAACATGTACACACCAAGGGCATAAATATATAGTTTTCCCATGTCTTTCTGGTTTAGAAGCGTTTGGCCTTTTTTCTTCATTAAACTGTGTTGGGAGAATGAGTGACTTGCTCATGAAGGTCATTTCACATGATGTATTATGGTGTTGTGTGACATGAAGTGATATTTCAGATATGGCCTTTCAAGTTTAAGTACATGGTCTTCTTTTGGTTGGTGAATAATCAGCTCTGAATTTATTGTGAGCAATCAATCTCAGTCCAATGGGGAAGGGAAGAAATACACTCAGCAGTCAGCAGATACTATGGGAAAGTGGCTAGCTAAAGAATGGTATCTTCACTGCCAATGACTCGTTTCCTATTTAGCTTGTGAAACCTGATGCACAAGACACACTGAATTACTCTGGGTCTGGAAGAGCAAAAATCTCTAGCACAGTAGAATTTTTTTTTTCCCCAGAAAGCTAAATAAGAACATTTTGAAATCTTGGCTGTGAGGCATACACTGAAACAGGTGAATCAGACATATACTGAACAGTTTTTTGTGTCTAAAGTGTTCTAATATTTCATTTCCAATGCCAAGATAAAGATGTTTGATTCCTAGCACTGCTGAAATGGCTTGGCACAATTTTCTTCTCTGTAGCCATGACCAGATTGAACTTTTATGCAGGCAGAGAAATGCTGTGAAAACCATGAAAATGAAGCAAATAACGGGGTGGGGTGAAGCAGTAAACTGCCCTGGTGGCATTAATGACATTCCTGTGTTGTGCTGTGCATGTTGCAGAAAACAGTCTGGCAACAGCAGTGATGTGAAGTCCACGTGGAAGGTGGTTTACAATGGGTCCTGTGGCAGTATTTGCACGTGGAAAGCCAAGAACTTAGAAGGAACTTTCCAGTTCAGAGCAGCAGCTGCAAATGTGCTGGGACTTGGTGAATTTAGTGACATTAGCATGGATATAATTTTGAGTGAAGGTATGTCTTGTACTTCTGTATTCTGTTAATCTTTTTTTTTTCTTATTCTAAATAGTCATTTAGAATAGTAATTTAGTCAATTTAGGAAGACAGACTGGCTACTTTAATAACAATATTCCTGCAAATGTAAAGTAATGTCTCTAATACGTAATAAGTGGTGATGTTTATATAGTGTCCCCTGCTGCTAGTGCTCATCCAGGCTCTTTTGCTCAGAACACTGGACCTGAAAAGGGCTTCTGCTCATTTATATTACTTTGTCTCTGTGGCTCTGCCACTCTGCTTTATGGTGTGATTCTTGATAAAAAGCAAGCTCACACACTGGGTAAAGATATCAGAATTACTTCTTGCCTTCAGCCAGAATGTTAGACTTGCACTTTGTGGGTGCTTTTGGAAATCCCACCTTGAGTAATCAAACAGTCCAGCATTTTCTTTTTCTGCATATACATTAGGTCACAGGAATGACCCAAGTTCTTCCCCAAACCTGGGGGAGAAGGATTAGTCTGACCAAATGCACACCCACATACAGCCTACAAGAGAGCTTTGTGCAGTGGGAGACTTTTGCATTGCAGGCAGCTAGAGGGTTCTCTCAGGTGTGCTCTGCTCTGTGGGATTGACCGTGCTTGCATACACAGTAATTAAGCAAATTTCCCTTTCTCTTTAATAGATAATATGATCTCCACAGGCACCATCATTGCCATTGCTTCTGTGATTGGAATTGTGCTGTGTTTGACTGTGGTCATGCTGTTGGGTTTTGGTATGTGATTGAGTTTTTTGTTTACCCTTGGTTTGCCAGGCCTCGCTGAAAGGCAGTTCAGATGGTGGGAAATGATTGGCCTCCAGATTTAGGAAATTGCTCCCTCCCTAGGTTGGGAGCTGCCAGGAATTTGTATATTCTCATTCTTTGAGGCCCTAGAGATGGCGAATTATATTTTTGGTGTTAAGGACAGGATGGAAATCACTCAATTCTCAGGCATTTCTTGCTGTTGATTACTGGCAGGGAGAGCACAGGAGTGCTTAAGGAACTGTAATGTTTGTGTGTGTCCTTATAAAAACTTGCACCTTACAATTCTCAAATTTATTCTCCAAAGGGTCCCATTTTCTTTCTCTTAAGCTTTGTCCCTGAAGAAAGGATGTAATGATTACCCTGAGATGCAAATGACAGGACATGTGTCCTGTCCTCTCAATCCTCATCCTTTCCCTGGAGTTTTGTCACACACAGAAGTGGATACCTGACTGAGTTGTCAGCTCAATGAGCAGTTGCCTGTGTTTTATGGGAAAAAAATGGCCAGGTGGAAATGACTTGCTAACATGAGCAGTTGGGGGGTTGATGTTAAACAAAGTACCATAAAACCTGTAGCCTTTCAGTGTGCTCACACACTGGGATGCTCTCAGAGTGAAACACCTAATGGTCTCCTTTTCTATTCCAGTATGGAAGCAAAGATTGAAATCCAGAAAACCGGCCTTGCCTGGACAGATAGTGTTTATCAAGGAAGATAAAGAACTAGCTCAACTCAGGGGGATGGCTGAGACAGTGGGACTAGCCAATGCCTGTTATGCTGTACGGTATGTCCTCAGAGCAAATGTGTTTTCAGGACAGCAACATCTAAGAGGTCTTCCCTGGACCAATTTTCATCAGGGCACTCATCCCTGAAACCTCAAGGTAGAGTTAAGAGCTGCATCTGCATGTTTGCTGCAGTGCAGATCTGCTCCAAATGATGCCCTGCCATGATTCCCCTCTGGTACACAGCCCAGCCTGGATTGCCCCCAGCCCATTGTTCGTGTCACTTTGGCAAGAAAAACAAGTTCACAGGGAAGGAAGAAGACCTGGTGTTTTCCAGTAACTTCCAAACCATCCAGGCCTCCCCTGAGCTCTCCTTAAATGTGCCTGATGAGACAAATAGTACCAGCTTCATTTGAATTTTGATAGAATTTCAGACATCCTTAGGTATGAACACATGACTATTATTGCTGTTTTGTAGCACTCTTCCTTCTCAAGCAGAGATTGAATCCCTGCCAGCTTTCCCTCGGGACAAACTCAACTTACGCAGATTGTTAGGAAGTGGAGCATTTGGAGAGGTATATGAAGGGACTGCAATAGATATCCTGGCAGATGGAAATGGAGAATCCAAAGTAGCAGTCAAGGTAATCACAGCTGTGTATTTCTCTGGCAACAGAATGAGATGGGCAGAGAGATCTGCCTCAGAGGTTTTACCTGAGAAATAGGTGTTGGGCTGATCTGGGTATTTCCTTGCAGTGTTTTTTGCAGATCTCTTAAAGCTCAGCCTTGTAATGATTTCTGGAAAATAATGTGTATTTAAGGCCACATCTGTGTCTGATTGTTTTACATAAGCGCCATGTGATAAGGGTGATGATGACCAAATGTCACTTCTGCTTTCTGTTGAGTAGACTTTGAAGAAGGGTGCGACAGACCAGGAGAAGAACGAATTCTTGAAGGAGGCACACTTAATGAGGTAGGGACAGCTTTGTCCCTGGGCACTCTTCAAAGCTGGTGTCATCTGAGGGTGGTGTCTTCCCAGAGGAATGAAAGCAGCACTTTCCTCTAAATAGATTACTCTGGCATTTTTGGGGTTTTCTCGTGTTTCTGCCAAACAAATAAATCACTACTGATTAATATAATGGAACTAAAACTATAAATTTAATAAGCAAAATTTAAGGTATAGACTGCAAGTTCAATATACTCATATCATGGATTTATTTGAGATTGTAGTGGTGTATTTCAGTAGCTTTGCTCCCCTAAACCAAGTTAGTTGCTAAAGGCAAATGATCAAAATTCAGCTAATCCCATTTTACTGAAAGAAACAAATCAGAACAAACTGATGCCTAAAGTTGTAATTTACAGTGGAAAATATTTTTTAAAAATGTGCCACTAGGGGCTGCCACATACCCCTTCTATTGAGGTAGTGTTAAATTATGCATCTGTCACCGCTGCAAGAATTTCTCATAATAAGGTTTGTGTTTCAGCTAGAAATCATGTTTTCTAGTGTGTCTCCAGAAGCAAGAAGTTCAACTGAAGGTTTCAACTGGTAGTATAAGAATGAGAGTGTAGTTTAGTTTTCAGATGTATTTTTGCACTTCTTTGACTTTTATTTCATGCATGCAGAAGTAGAAGCAATTTTTTAAAAATGAAGGATTTATTTCTGCACAGAAAATGTGGTATTATTAAACTGGAAATTGATTTTCACAACATTCAAATTTTTTTTACGGTTACACACTTAAAAGATATATCTTGCATTTTTTACCTTTTATGACACACTGTAACTGAATGAGGTAAAAGGCTTGTTAAAACCAAAATTCAACCACGCCATTAAAGTGCAAATAATTAATAAAGAGTAAGAGTGTAAACTCCTTATAACCCATCTTTAATCTACCTAGCAGTCATAACACAGTTTTTTTCTGTGTAGTACATAAATGATAAACCCATAGTTATATGAACCCATAGTTAAAGTTTCTGAAGCTCTCCCAATTCTTGTTGCAGATAATAATCCAAACCCAGAAATCCTGGAAGAGTGTACAATTGAAAATTTTTTGCATTTAAATGTAAACATTGACATGGCCCCAAGTGTGCACCAATGCAATGAATCAGAAATTAAGAGAATAGAAAAGTTTAAGTATTAGATAAACCCCATAGTCATTAAAAACACCACCAGCAGCAGCAACAATGACAACAACAACAATAATAATAATAATAATGATATATATTTTATATTATATAAATGTTTCAATTTTTATATAAAAATAATTATTTAATTCCATCATGGAGGGTTTAATGATTTTACTTGACGTCATCTGTAAGGTCTCATAAATGAAACCAAGGGTAGAAAGGAGAAATAAGTGCACCTGAGTGCTTATAAACAGGTAAGGTGTATAAGATGCAAGTTGTAAGATATGTAAGTGCAACTTTTATTTTGCTTGCCTTTTTGGATGTTCATTAAAATTTGGCTTGTAATGTTATGCATGCTGGCTCAGTTAAGCCGGAACTATTTGTTCCTTTTTATTGCTATGCAGCAAAGGGAAAATTGAGTTGCCTCTATTTCAAAATGTTGGTTATTGGTGAGTCATTTGTGTGCAAATATAGGTAGGAAATTCTTGTGTCTGTCCCATCCCTCGGGAAGTAAGGAATGACAGTTCAGTGGAGAAAGGTCTGCATTGGGTGCAAAGGAAAGTGCCAGGTGTTCCTTCCCCTCTTTTTGTTCCTGAAAGTGCCAAAGTTTGTCTGATTGAGAGGTATGTGCTAGGGGCCGGGGGGAACTGTCAAATTCTAAATTGCACTTTTTGCAAGAGTCTTTGCCCACACCTGAGATTAGGTGAATTGAAAGAGATTAGAAGGAAAATGTCCCTCTCTTGTTTGTTTACACTGCAGCTTTGACAGCATTTTGGACACCATCAATTCTCCCAATAGAGTCAAGTTTCTCTGACCGCTTGTGCAAGTGCTCTCACGCAGCATGAGAGGGGAAAACCATTTTCTAACACAAGTGATTGAAAAAACACAGGCACTGAGAGAGGCAATAAATATTCTTCATTCTTTGAAGAATACCTGCAGTACTGAGAGTACTGATTGCTCTGTGGTAATCCCTGTCTTAGACACACACACAAACACTTGCTAGTATACTTAGAAGTATTCCTCATATGTATTTTGTTCCCCTTGCAAATGTACTGTATATAACTGTCCCTATCTGAACTGTGAAAATAATATATTGCACCTCGTGCTTTTACTTTTGTGTATTTCTCTGGATCAGTTCTACTGTGAATATAGCAGAAAAAATACTCTATTAAAATAATGTAGATACCTTTAATATACAGGTGATGACTCATTCCTAGAAGAAATTGCCATTTGGCTACTTTCTTCCTGGAAATATGATGAAGTGTTCTTTTTAATATGTGTGCATGCCTTAGAGTGCCTGTCAAAGACAGTGTAAGCCTGTGTTTTGGAAGGATGTCCCTGAACTCTCCCCATGACTGAACAAATCCAGGCACTGAGAGCTACTGAATCATGTTGTTCATAGAAGCAGGATTGTAAAGGCCAAACTGCTCATTCATTGTTTGCAACTATAAACACTCTGTTAGCTATCAACCAGCTGGATTTCTCATATGTAATCTTACAGTTGTTTCCTTCTGTTTAGCAAATTTGATCATCCCCACATTCTGAAGTTACTTGGTGTGTGTCTATTAAATGAACCTCAGTATCTTATACTGGAGCTGATGGAGGGAGGGGATCTACTGAGCTATTTACGAGGAGCCAGAAAGAAAAAGGTAAAGCCCATGAGAGTCATATTTTTAACCTGTAACTGCCCACAGTTTCTCAGTTTTTCCCTTTCTAAAAATTCATGCTGATGTTCAGCTGTTTCTGTACTTGCAAGGTCTGACCTAGCTTTTCCTTAGCACCCTGGGACTTCAGTGTTCAGTGCTGACCTTGCAATCAGTGATGCTGATCAAGAAGATTGAATGTCATTAGATCACTGACCAAAACTGTAGTTTCAGTCATGAGATTTCAATCTGCTGGATTTCTCACTGTGAAAATAATAAACTATCCTTTTGAAAGTGGTAATAAATAATGGTGGTCATGTATGTGGTCTATTAGGAATCACAGAGGGGTATTTTTTCTTTGAATAATTTGTCTCCAGTTAGTGTGCAGATTAGGAATATGGATAGTATGACTGGAGGTCAAAATGAAATTTTATACCACTATAGCAGTTGTATATTTAATTTACATAGTCAGATCAAATCCAGAGTCAGTGTTGAATTCTACTGAAGTGCATATACATGTGTTTTACTAGAAAAATATATTACACTGATTAATACAGCAACAAACAAATCTGATCTGATAGTGGGAGGAAATTTCTAGGGTCCTGTTTCTTCCACAGCTCTGAAAGTCCTAGGGTGTTCTGAGCTGCAAATCAAACAGGATGTGTTCACCTTCCTCACAGTGCAGTGATTTGGTAATTTACCCTCCTTCAAATTAGCATTCACTTGACTGACATACTGAGATTTTGCACCTGTGCTTTAACTCTTTTGGAAAAATCCTATACATTTCAAATGGGGAAATACATTTCAATGAGGAAATCTTGTTGGGGGAGTTTGTCATTCTGAGTTGGTAAAGTTGGAAGAAAGAGCTAAGTTCTTCTGTCTTTGTTTCTTGTAGCTCCAGAGCCCTTTACTGAGAGTCACGGACCTTTTGGATATATGTTTGGATGTTTGCAAAGGTTGTGTCTATTTAGAGAAAATGCATTTTATACACAGGTACAGAACTTACTTCCTTAATCTTCCCAGGGTTACCTACAGTATTGGCACTCATTATCTTACCCAGGAAAAAATGCCTAGAAGGATGTCACAATGTAACATGACAGGAGAGAGCACTGGAGTAAAATCTAACTCTGTGCTTTTCTGCTAGATATCACTCACAGTTCTCTCCCAAAATGGTGGGCTCCTCTAAGATCTGAACCAAGGACTTAGTGCACCCTAGGCATGAATCATATCCTGTGCAACAGAGAGAAGGACACATGGAAGATCCATGTACTGTCTTTGTCTGCCTAATGGGTAGCTTTAGAGGACACAGAGCCAAATTTTCTCAGAGAGGTACAGGGAAAAGATGAGAAGCAACAGGCACAACTTACAACAAAGGAAATTAGATAATACTGTTCACAACATCCCAGATCAATCACTGAAACAGGTTGTCCAGAAAGGCTGTCATCTCCAGTCTTGAAGATATGCCAGACTTAACTGGGTGAGGCCCTAAATCACTTGATCCAACCTTGGGGTTGAAGAGATCTGAAGAGAATGTTGAGCCAGATGACTTACAGACCTGAATTTTTCTGCAATGCTAACTCCATCCTCTTTTCTCTGCCTTACAAATCAGGGACTTGGCTGCTCGCAACTGCCTTGTGTCTGAGAAGGAATATGGGCATCCATCCCGGATAGTAAAGATCGGTGATTTTGGACTTGCCAGAGATGTCTATAAAAATGATTACTACAGAAAAAGAGGAGAAGGTCTACTCCCTGTCAGATGGATGGCCCCTGAAAGCCTTATTGATGGTGTCTTTACAAGTCGCTCTGATGTCTGGTGAGTTATAGCAGCCACACAGCTGTGGGGATAATCACACTAAATTCTGCAGCAAGAAAATACTGGTTTAGAGGAGGAATTACAGGGTTGTATATTGTCATCTCTAATAATTTTTAGGCTAGGGCAGATTTCCTCCTCAGTGAAATTTTAATGATCTAATGAAATAGTTGACACCACAACAGTATATTTCATGGATTTATTTCTTTATGCTTTGAGCTCTTTGGATTTTGGCTCGAAAGAAATAGTGTCACTCAAACAATTTTACAGTTGTACCAGGCCCACAATGTGGTTTTTGCTTGATTGGGCAGTGAATTGACTGCCTGCACACTGTTCTATTTTGTTTTCCATTAGGTTTATTGACATTTTCTTCCCACAGCCAAATACTTTGCCCTTTCAGTTTCACCCTCATTTAGTGACTTCTTTATTTTGAAGACTAGACTTTGCAGCATCGTCAGGGGAAGGTCACAGTACTTTTTTTTGGTGAAAGTTTGCTAAAAGTGTGTATTTGAGTCGCTTTGAGTTTATTGTGAAGAAGCAGAGACGCACTGTCAGGAGACATGGAAAAAAGAAACCCAGATTAAACCAGATCCATGAAACCTGATATTCACACAAGTTTAGATTTCAGTGGCCACACATATTCAGCCCAGGGGCCTTGTCCAAGTCCCCCTGCCTGCACCCATCTATTTGACTGCTACTCTTGCACTTATCTAAGAAAGTAATTAAGTATTCTGTGCCAAACCAAATGAGGTGCTGATTGGTCCACAAGTGGTGCTTAGAAGAACTTGTCTTTCTCCATTTTAAACCACACCTCTAGAGATTTCAAAACACTTGTTTATATGAGGACATGTTCAACCTGAGTGTTGCCTGGGAAGATGTGGGCACTCAGTGTCTTCTGAGATGCATCTCAGTGCTCGTTTCTACACATTTATTTTAGCTGGCTTAAATATTAGCTGGCTTAAATATTTCAGAGGCTGGCTTAGGGACAAAATCAAATTAAGACTTCTTACTCCTAACTTTTCTGAGTCTTGTTCTTCAATTAGACACAATCTGACTGTTAATAGGGAGATTTCATGATGACTATGGTTATTAATTTTTCTCTTTTTTTCCATGGTGTTTCCCAGGGCTTTTGGAGTACTAGTGTGGGAAACATTGACTTTGGGTCAACAGCCATATCCAGGTTTCTCCAACACAGAAGTTTTACACCATGTGCGATCAGGAGGAAGGTTGGAATCTCCAAACAATTGTCCTGATGACCTGTAAGTTAATTTTGTTTAATTGTTGTTGATAATATTTAAAAAAAACAAGAGGCTTTGGTCATAAGTTGGTCATAATTTTGAAGGTTAGTCTTGCCTGTGAGGAGCCCAACATCCTCCACTTTTGTTTCCAATAAAACTGGCCAACCTAGTACTAATTCATCCAGTAGTCCAGCCTGTTAGTAAGAATTTAAGGCATGGATCTGGTAGTACTGTGAGAACAAGCTGAGAGTATCTGAAGGTATTGGTTAGAAGTTAAGATGGCTCTAAGAAAGATTTTATCTGTCTCTCTACATCATGTGTCTGTGACTCTGGATAAAACTCTTTCTTAATGGTAGGTGGAGGAATAGACTAATATTGGAACATATGTGAAAAATAAACTCTGCTCTTTGTAGAGAGAACTCAAAAAAAGCCAAGAAGAAAAGCTGAAGCAGTATAGGAAAAGGAAAGTCTGCACTTCTGGTTAGTCTTTCGCTGGACTGGATAAGCAAAGCCTTCAATTTCTGTTGTGTCTTGAGCACAAAACTCGTGTTCAATTACAAAATTCTTGCAATTAACTGAATAAAATAAATACATCAAGCAGATCAAGCCGATTCTAACCAGAGGTGTATAAAGGAGGAAGAAGAACATGAGCTTAACAATTACTCAGTATAGTCTAATTTCATGTCTCAATTTCTTTATCACCTACTCAACATAAGCAGTCACAGCAATGCACATGACAGCTGGTCCTACAAATAGGAGAGGCCACTGAAAGTGAAAAATTCTTACTCCCAGGGCTGAGGAAAAGACTTGAGAATAATTCTGTGATTGACGAGCCACGATCTCCATGATAGTTCTTACACCAATTACTACGTTCTGAGTTGAAGAGAAAATGATTATTTATCATTACGTAGATATAGCTGAAATATCATGTTAGCAAAAAAAAACCCAAACCAAGCTTTAGCATGTGGAGGAATTGAAGAACTGAAAAGATTAGAACTTTATTTTAATAACAGAGGGAGAACTGGAAGTCACAGAACAAATGAAAACCTAAAGGAATTTTAATTGCAATATTTTCTGCTGAGAAAGGTATCCTCAAAAAATTCCTGGCAGCTGTCCTGTGAATAAAAAAGCACAGGAGGCAGCTATATCCATGTACTAGTCTGACATTCAAACTTAAGCAAAGGCTCATAAATTGCCTTAAAACGAGTGACCAGATTTTCAGAAAAATTAAGAAAACTTTGGTTGAAATAATTTTTAAGGTCCCAGATCTTGAATTTAGCATAGTAGATAAGTCTTAAATACTGGTCTGCCTGTTGTAACATGTAGGATCAGTGCCTAATAGTAGTTTTTGAAAGCCAAAGAGCTCTTTGACTTAGAGTTTAGACTCTTGTACCATCTTTTATCTCAATTGGTGAACACTCAGCACCTGCATGCAGCTTCTGTCAGCAGAGTAAACAGCTTTTTGCTGCTTTGCTAGGTCATTAATGGCATGCCGAGATTCTTGACATTCCTGCTTCCCTCCTCGTGGTTTTGAACCTGTATCAGGACATCAGCAGTCAGTAATTGTCTCCTCGGCACTTTGGCTTGCTCATTGTCATTTGACTAAACAAGCCATCACTGATAGGAAGAGAGTTCAAAGGCCAAAGTACTTCAGCTGAAAAGTGTTTAGGAATCTGTGATAGGCCTATGCTGCAAGTGCAAGTAGGGCTGGCACAGAAACCTTAGGCTGTAAAAGCATGAAGGAAGTCGATTGTTTGTTTGGTTTTTATTTGGAAGGGGGAAAAAACCTTCCCCTTGCCTCCACAAGTTGTTACTCCAGGAACAAATCACCTGCTTTTCCCCAGAGAACTGTGGCTGGGTAAAGCTTGGTAAAGAATTGAAAACGAGGCTTGGGATGAATGAATGAGACACAGATATATTGAAACATGAATTGATCTATGAATGTAACTACATTTGCATTCAGAGATTCACATATGGCACAGCCACCTGGGTATGAGGCTTGCATGCAAGAGAATGCAAGGTTTGGACTGAACTGAGCTAATTCAACATAGATCCTGAAAGCCCATGGATTACAGTCCAGAGATTTTGTACAAGAACCAGGACATTTGCTGACTTGAAGCTGCAGTTTCACTGAATGCTCGGTCCTGTACAAACTTACTCATCTGACTTTGATAAGAAATTTTAGTTTGGTAACTAAAAGTTTTTTGCTATTTGTTTCTGGGAATGATTCCCTGGGGGAACTAAAGAGAGTGAGAGAGAAGAAGGCCTTGCACAGAATGCATCAGATTAAATCACGGGCCTTTTATCATGACAAATTTTCTTATTTTCTAAGGAAATCACACATCAATCTTATTCCCATTTCATGTGAGAAAAGAATTGGTAATGCCTGTAGCTTCTGTGCATTTCAGGAATGTTCACATCCTGCCTCCAATATCAGATACTGAATATTAGTTTTTTGATTTTCCAGGCTCTTGAATTCTAGCTAGCCCCACATAAGCAGCTCTGTTGGGCATTTGGTTGTTGCCCCCAGATAAAACACAGGTGCCAAGTGTAGGGGTGTAGATACATCTAGTGTAAAGGTTGGTTCTTAAACCTTACGTAAAGTTTTAGCTAATGCTATTTTTGGAACTTTCATTTTTTCCTGACTGGCTTTCCCCATGAAATAGAGGAATCCTCTGGGTCTCTTTCTCATGCTGAAGTGATGCACTATTTGCTAGCCTTTGTTTGGCTCCCCAGAAAATATAGGAATGTGTTCAATCTTTTACTTACATGTATCTTGGCATGTTAAGCTGTCTTTCACCCTCTTGGCTGGTCTCATTCATTTCTGAGCTAATGAAAATTTGTGCCATATAACTTAAAACTTTGGATGTCACACCATGCCTCAAAAGCTAAATGTCATGTCACCAGTTGCTGTACATGTAAAATCTGCAGATATATTCTGAGAGAGCATGAACGTTTTTGTCATTAGAACCCTAAAGCCTATCTGAATTAAACACTTAGTGAAAAATACCAGTACTGATATTTTAAGCCAATCACCAAGTAATTTGATTTAGGAAATAAAAATATGGAATATAATTAAAATGAGAAAATTACAGTACTGAATTACAGTTTTGGCAGAAGTTAATGTCCTTACTCCATAGCAAAACTGGATGACTCTATAAAGCAAAAATAATTATTTAGAAAGACAGAGATTGGTCATAGGAAACAAAACAAAAATATTCAGAATCCACACTCACAATGTTCTTGTTTCATAAATTAAAAGAGGGTAAATTTAGATTGTATATAAGAAAGAATTATTTTACAATAAGGATGGTGAAACATTGAAAAAGATTGCCTAGAGAACTTGTGGATACTTCATCCCTGGAAGTGTTCAAGGCAAGGTTGGCTGGGGCTTTGAGTAACCTGATGTAGTGGAAGATATCCCTGCACATGGCTGGCAGGTCAGACTAGATGATCCTTGAAGGTCCCTTCCAGCCCAAAAAACATTCTGTGAGTCTATTATTTATGTAGCATTTCCTGTTTCTTTCTTGGTCTGTGACTGGCTGTTTCTTCCACAAGGCTCTGCTCATGAGAGCCCAATTGCAAACCTGATGAAGCAAAGCACCTGATCTCATGGTTTTTGCCTGGATATCCTACCAACAAGCATGACCAGAAAGAAGACAGTTTGGCTTCCAGTATCCAAGGCTGGAATTCAACATGAGAGACACTTTGCTGGCAGGATAAGGAAAAACCGTTATTTAACCTTATTTTGAGTTCTATTCAGTCCTTTTCCTTCTATATTTCCAGTGTCATCAATAACCAGTACACCTGAAAGTAAGCAGATGAAGTAATTCAGAGTATTAGGAAGCCACTACCACTTTTTAGATTCTTAAAATGGATCCTTTTGAAAAAAAAACAGAATTACTCTGTTCAACTTGAAAACCACAAGTATACAGGTTGATGAAAAGTGGTTTTGAAACAATTTTTCTACTCACATTCTCACTTGACACTAACATTTTAATGAAAAATATAATTGAATAATCAGAAGTCAGGGGATTCCTCCCAGCTGTCACTAAGGGCTTTTTAAGATGCTCAGTTGTAGTGAAGGACAGCAGTCATGTTTTTAAGATGGATAAGCGAGGATCTGATCAAGCCAATTCATTTCACATAACAGATTAACGCCTGGTATCACATAGCAGCAGGTCTGGGTAGATGTTTGTCAGGGGAGGGTTTGAATTTAAGGCTTAGAGGTAAATGCTCCACATTCCAGATACAGCTTCCTGAACCAGCCTTTCACTGGCTGCTCTCTGGTTTTGAGACTCTTAAGTCCTCTTTCCACTCCCAACACTTACCATGTCCAGGTGTTGGCTGTGTTTTGGTTTTCAGCCTGTCTCTCCGTGGCTTTTGTAGGATTTGGTTTTGTGAAGCATAACCTTGAGCAAGGAATAAAAACCAACCCTATCATTTAGACAAACAGGAGGTAAATTTTCTGCTAAATGGTAGTGATAGTGTTGGACAATGTGGGCTAGAATCCCTGCACCCAGAGGAAATTCATGCCACTTGTGCCTTTGGAAAACTTATTCCTATTTGTTTTGGTCTGGAGGTAGAAGTCAAAACTAACTCTCCCTGTGCTGGAGGGTTTGCCTTGAACTTCTCCTGAATGTGAGGTAGCCTGAGTTGAAGGAGGATTAAATAAATTGAAAATTTCAGGTTAATTTCTGATTTTGCACTTCCTTTTTTTTTAAATTTTTTTTTCTGTGAGAGAATTTCCTCCTCGTCCGCTTTCTTAAAAAGCATTCTTGACTTCTTCAGTGAGAGTAGATGTTCATGGCAAATGTGTATTTTTTTTTAATACCTGCTTCCAATCTCAAAAATATCCCTCTCTGAAGAATTAAAATGTTCATAGTAATTATTCTTGACTTTGATTTGATCTTTAATTTATTTTTCATTGCCTCAGCAGCTGATGATAATCTTTGTACCACACAGAAAGTTTTCAGGCCAAACTTGCTTCTCAGATATTTAATGGTAAGTGTTGAGATGAATGATTATATTATCATTTTTGTTTGCATTTAAATTTTTTTCCAGATATGATTTAATGAGAAGATGCTGGTCCCAAGAGCCTTACAACAGACCTACTTTCTCTAACATTCATGACAAACTACAAGAGATAAGACACTCTCCACTGTCCTTCACCCAATGCCTTGAAGACAAAGAGGCATCAACTGGAATCATCAATGAAGCTTTTGAAGGTGAGTCTGGGCCAACACCCGCTATTCTTGTGGCCCCTGCTCTGTATGCAAAGTGCTTTTCATTGCATTTGTCACTCCTCAAGTTCTCTGGCTGTTAAATGGAAACAGCAAAGATTTACCTCTATCATACTGAACTTGTGTGATTCATTATGTGCCTGAGAGGTGCAAGGAATTAGATAAAGGATGTGTAAGATTACCAAGCAGAAACGCCCAAATGAGGATGTAATTAAGTTTGACTCACAGAGACATCCAATTTGCATCTAAATTCTTGGTAGTTCACAGCCCTATTCCGCTAAAATAGATGCCTAAGTTCCTTGCAGAGCCAGGAGAACCTTCGAAGGCTTCAGTGTGGAAATCTGTCCCAATTTCAAAGACATCTCCACCCTCTCCATGGGCTAAACGTGGCTATTAGGAACTTCCTCTGGGAGTACTGACTCAGCAGACACCTGAAAGTGAAGCATAATTTAGGCACTCCAGTAAGGTGGCCTTTATCCAAGCCCAAATTCCGATCGATTCAGGTCCTGCCCATGCTCTGCACACTGTGAATGAATAAACTAAGTGATGTTAGGGAAGACATGCTTAAGATAGGGACACAACAAAGCTCAAAAATATAAGAACGTTATTAAGGTTGTGACAACAGGAATTAAGAAAAAAGATAATGCTAAATTTGAATTGTCTATGCCACTGGGATGTAAATCATCTAAATGTGGAAATGAACATCCTGGCTGGGCCAGAACAGCAATCTATTCACATCCTGCAGTAATTCCTGACTAAATAAATATTGAGAAAAAGTGAACAATATTAGTAAACAATGTAATCTGAATTCGAAAAAAAAAAGTTTTTATCAGCTGAAATATTTCACTTTTGTTTCACAGATTAATTTTTTCATTTAATGTGTTTGCCTGCTATGGTTTTACAATGAAAAATATTGAATAGTAAAAGAACTACTTTCCGTTCTAGAAAAACCAAACCTGACTGTTTCTAAAATATCTAAAGGCTTAGTTTTGGTGGCAATTTTTGGTAGTTTTTTTGAGGGTTTTTTTGTTGGTTTTTTTTTGTTTGTTTTGTTTTTTGGAGGTTTTTTTTTCTTTGTTTTTTTTCCCAATCACAAATTGTTACTGAGCTAGGAACTCACCCTGATTCACAGTTTTGATACTTCAGTACTTTGTGTTTTCCTAAAAATTTCCTGATCAATCCCACGAATGACACAGTACTCAATTACACAACTACATAGACATTTTTCTTCAGGTTACGACCTATATTCCATTTACTGGCATTGTCCAATTGTCATTTAATTTGAAAATTTGCTAATCTTTATAATTTGATGAAGCTTTATAAATGTCAGTTTATTTCTATTGTGGTTTATCTTTATGTCAAATCCAATCTGTTCATGGCATGTTTACATTATAAGACTAAAAACTTTATAAAGATGTGAAGGGACCAGCTCAGATAATCTATCATTTCATGCTTTTTTAACAGCTGATTTTGCACCTCTATGCTATAATGAAAAACAATTTACATGTAGTGTAGTTATTTAGTTTCTTTAAGGGTATCTTAGCTCTCAATAATGACATTCAGGAAAGAGATACTTAGTCTGGCACAAATGTACACCTGGCATTAGCTCAGGAAAGGACCAGAGCCAATTAATTAGGCACTATGCCCAAGCTAATAGGCCTTACATTTTGGATGGACTTTATCTCACCTAAATGCAGCTGTCTACAGGCTAGGAGTCTCTTCTAGGATATTCTTCTGGGTAGCTCTGTAGTCAGAAGCAAAAAGTGACAGCTCCTGGTTTTTGGGCATGTGTCACAGCAGGAAAGGGGTCACCTTTTGCCTTACTCTTCACTGATGATGGATGGCATCCAGGTGACTTGCCATATTTAATTTCGTTCACAGAGAGTCACAGGGTAGGTGAGCCTGGAAGGGACCACTGGAAGTCACCCAGTCCAACATCCCTGCTCAAGCAGAGTTACCCCAAATACATTACTCAGGATAGTGTCCCAAAATACAACTCTCCCCAAACACATTACTCATTATAGTGTCCCAAAATACAACATCTCAGCTACAGTATCTCAGTCTAGATGTTTAATTTTAAGATGGCTAAGGAGCACAACATCCACTGGACACAGGGCTGTACTGATTGAATTGCTTGCACCCACTCCTGAGCTAGTTTGGTTTCCAAACTTAGACATCTCTGTGTTCTCTAACTCCACAGGCAAGAGAGACATGAAAACTAATGGAGTTAAGAAGTTCTTAACTTCTAGCATTACATCAATATCTGTCAAAATCTTTAGCAGGGCTGAAATTGCCAGAGAAACCTACCTTTCTGCTGCTTGGAGTTGGGGAAAGGGGCTGGAATATGGGTTACTGTGTTTGTGGTGGAGTAGGCCTGGCACAGATGTAACATAAAAAGTGTTTTGCTTTCAGTGCAAGTCCAGCTTAGCATGTGTCAGATAAGCCTGATCTTTCTTCAGCTGTTAACTTGCTTAATCTAAGCAAATAATTACTTTCACTGGGATAACAAATACACGTAATAATGTAAGAAACATTATTTTGCCAAAATTTCAGGTTCTCTGCCACATAGCAGAGGTCACAGAGAAAAAGCCATTGTTCGCCAGAACAAAAGTTGCATTCTTAGAAATTACCAAGTTGCAAAGGAAAACGGGGATTGAGGCTTCCATGAAAAGTGTCAGTTTGAAGGATAAAAATTTGAAAAAAAATCAGTTTAGTGCAGAAAATATGGTAGTATAATGGACTTCAAGGGTGGTCTTAATAATAGCAGTACTCCATAATGTATGTGCTAGTCAGAGAATCTGTTGAAAGCAGTCACTTCCAAAATCAGACTCCATTAAACCTGTTTATAATAACTTAGTTGGTAGAATCTAGCCCACTGTGGTAAGCAGGACAATTAAGTGTAGGAAGAGGTTTGGCCATCAGAACTTCTACTTGGCACACCCTCTTCCTGAGCCTTGGACCTTTCCCCACCAGCTGTCATGTTCCCTCTTCTGGCTTCCCCTCAGCCTTCCCTTTCCATAGGTTCTGTCCAACTGCTGTTGCCACAGAGCTATTGCTGGATCTGCATTGGGAGGAGAAGACAAAGCAACTATTTTCATTCTTCTATTTAATGTTTTTGTGCTTCAAAAAGTTCTCAAAATCCTTCTTAACTTCTCCTCAGGTTCATTTGATGATCCTCGTATAGGAAATACCCTTCAGGAAACAGGGTAGCTCAAATTTTATTCATCTACATATCATCCTTCCATTTAAATGTATTTAAAAAGAAACACTTGATTTGCTCTTTACATGTCTCTATAATGCCATACTTATTTTCCTGTATATTTATAATTCACCTGTAGACTACCTCCCTCTTTCCCCAAGCACAGTCTTAATAAGGCCTTTAAAATGTTATGGTGTTTTCTTGACTGAAGCTCTAGAGTCCTCGTGATGTCTTATTGCTACTGGATTTTCTGATCAAGGACACATGCATGTCAATTTTCTGTAGCTCTCCAGCCTTGAATTAGTTCAACAGTTTTTCGGCCTGCCATGTGAGTTTCATGCAGTGGAATTCAGTAAGATACGGGCTCCAGAAGTGAGATTGATTTAAGCAAGAAAAGGTCATTCAGGTTCCACTCGAGTTTCCAGAGTAAAATGTGTGCTCCTCTATGACCCTGTTGAAAACAGTTTGGGGCATGTAATATGTCTCAGACTGTGATTTTAACACATTGTATAATAAGTTAGTGATTTTTAAAATTTGTATTCATTTCTAGCTGAGGCTAAGTGAAGTATTTCTTGTGTTCATATTAGTAGTAGTAGAAAGATGACAGCCAAAACAAATAATCCAAAAATCTGTTCTATGATGGATAGTCCTCGACAACATTTTCCAAAAATGCTACACGGTCCTTGGCCTTTGTGTGTAATGAAACTCCAGTCATGAGCCTCCAGCCAAGAAATGCTTGCTCTCACCAGGTGACCTAGTTTCAAAAGAGAGAAATGTCAAGCAAAGTGAAATTACATGCCTCAAAATAGCTAAGATACTTAGCCTTACAGGGGATCATACATCTTCCAGTTTCTGTTGAGTCCTACCTACCCATGGGTAGCCACACTTCTAGCAGGTCCATACATGCTGTCGATGATTTTTGTAGATGGGAGAGCTGAAAAACATTAGACTTTCTCAATAACCTTAATGCCAGTGCAGTATGACAGAGAGATGGCAAGTGTGGGTAAACCAATACAGACAGTCTGCTAGTAGGCAGCGTGCTAACAGGCTAGCATGGGGATGGCAAAAGGGGCCCATGCTGTGTTATTGCAAGAGTTACCCTTCTAAAGCAGGCATCAAGTGTCAATAAACGTGCCTGAGCAATACCAGCACCTCCTGGGACTTCTGCATTGGAAGAGACGGAAGAAAACTCAGGACCAGGGTCTACCAGTTTGGAGATTTTCCTTCTTGCCCTGGCAGGCTTTCCCAAAGCATTGATTGTGGGCTTAAAGTAGCAGTAACAATATTTATTTGAGTGAGGGCAACACTATCCAGCTGGAGGACTGAGACACCAGTGGGTTTTGAATTCAATGGGAATTTACTGAGCCCTGTTGCCAGAGTTCCCATTCATTGCTAAGAGATAGACTGTTCTTCCCCCAGCTCCAAGAAGCACAGCATGCTAGAAGGATGGCCCTGCATTGCTGTAAAAATAACTGGACCATCTATTTCCAGACATCAGTTTTTACATTTGCACATATAAGACGGCACGATAGCTTTTTGGGTCCCGTGAGTGCCCCCTTTACAGATGGAAACACCTGTTTGATTTGGCAAACGCCTTTCCTAACAGCAGACAACTGGGCATTCAGCAGCTGGAGAGACTTCTTGCCTTTATGACCTAGAAGGACTATTCTTATCAGGACTGCTCCTCACACTGCCTTTTGGACCTATATGGAAAAGACGTCTAATTGCTCAGAAAAAGAGGTTCCTCTGGCAAGAGGAGATGCCAGGCAGTTGGAGAAAATCCAGG